AATCTCCAAAATCCAATAAGTCTTTTTCTTTTTTAACTTTTCTTCAGATGGAACTTTATTTATATCAGCTAATGTATTAAAGTGACTAACGTTATTATGTCTATCTACAAATTAGGCATGTGGTCATGAACACTTAGTACTTCTAATGAAAATTGTTCAATAAAGAACAGCTAGAGGTACGCCCTGTGTGATCGAGGATATTTAGGCTCTTAACAAGAGGCAGTCCCGATCATTCTTACACAAGCTACCACTGCTAAATCCTAACTGACTAAATTGTATTTTAGTTTAATATAGTTTGAAACCTAGTAATTTCCATCGAAGTTTACAAAAGCGGGGCTATCAACATGAAGCAAATTAGCCCGGTGAAGCGCAGGATAGGCCGCACGAAGCCTGTGCCTCAAGTGGCTCCTTACGAGAATGTAAACATTACGCGCAGAGAGCGATTGCTGAAGAACGCTCGAAACCAAGCCCAGACAATTCCGACTCCTGATAAGATGCCGGCTGATGGTCCGGATTGGTATCAGGAATCGACAACTTTGGTGAAATCGCCTGGTAGAATGTTTTTGGACCCAGCGGACTTACATTTGGACATGGCTACTCCTCAAAATTTGTCATTTTCGGCGAAGCGGTTCTTTGAGGCATTTTGCAGAGCGATGAAATCTCCACGCCAACAGCCTACTCACGGTCAAGTGGCAGCGAATTTATTCAGGGACAAATCACAACAGCATCGTCGTCCGCAATCTCCAGGAGAAAGGAAGGAGAAATGCCAGGATAAAGCAAATGTACCTATCGATACGCTTGCATACCGTAAGCACTTTTCTGTTCACCACGATCGCTATCTAGAAGACCCGCATTATATGAAACGGTGTAAGATATCGTCACCTACTGAGGCGTGCATTACTGAATCTACCGCGGCAGAGATGAAAAGGCAGGTATTCCTTCTCACCCAAAATACGACGCAAGCAGAAGCTGAGGGCCGCACCGAGGACGCTCGTTCGTTGAAGGGCTTAATTCGCACAACTAACGAGACACTGAAGACTTGCTCAATAATGATAGATAGACGGATACCCAAGAAAAGGCCACCTAAACCACAGGGCAGCTATTATTTGGAAAATTCGTAGAAGATACAGCTACATGCGTTTATTTTGGATTGGCATAAAACTGCAAAATTTCATAAATTAGACCCGATTCATATGCAGATGGGCCTCTATAGGGCGCTACAGAAAGAAAGAGCAACAAAGGCGCAATTGGATTTTATCGTGGAGAATGAACAAAAATTGCAGTCCATGTCGTATCAGGACGGCACTGCTTATATTGTACGCACACACGAACAAGGCCTGGAGGATAATGCATACCGAAATGTATTGGCTTGCATGAAGTTAAACACTTCGGTGCCGCTAGAAACACAACTTCAGGATTTTGAACGCAAAGTTGTAAGATTCGGTCTATCAAGGCGATATTAACACCTTAGAGTAAATAAACGCCTAGGTAAATTCTAAGTATCGTGAAAATTTTAAAGTAAATAAACGAAATGAGACTTTTAGTTGTAATAGCCGGGCCTCTACATTAGACTATGTTATAAACGTACTCTTAAGTAGTACGTATACTAAAAGCGTACTCTTAATAGTACAAGGAACTTAAGTTTCCTAAATGGTTTTTAATGATTTTACTAATTAATACTTTTTCCATTATACATATCAGATATTTGGACGAAGCCATTAAAAGGCCCCAGTAAAATTCCAAACATAAGAGTTGGTCTAGTTCTATCAATAGAACTATATTTACTTTCCAACTTTATGTATATCTGAATACTTCGGTAGCGAGATG